AAGATGTGGTTAGAGTGCGAAGTGTTAAAGGCTGAGATCTTAGAGGGTAGAACGATTCCTCATGAGAGCAAGGTGCTTATGAGTGACCATGGCATCATAGAAGGGAGCAGCTCTTTGGAGTGAAGAACTGTGTAGCCAGACTACTGGCAGGATTATCAATATGAATGTTCACTCATCATTCCTAAAATTCTGGACAAGACATAATCCTAGGATGGTTTTTGACCTGCAAGAGTCATACAGAAGGCTATGCCATTTCTCTCAAGCCTGATGCAAAGCAATAAACTTGGCTTGAGGTATTAGACCCCTTATTCTCCATTCTCAGTGTATCCCCATTTGTTACCAAAACAACCTACATTCCATAATATCCAATCAGGACCATCATCTTATGCTTCGTGGCGTAAAACTTTAGGCACTGCAAATTCAGGCCACAAATATTGTAGGCATAACACTTTAAATCCATCCATGTTGGATTAAAAATTCTAAATAAATTCCATGTTGAATAATTCTCTGTAGCAGATGAAGAGCTGGCTATCTTTAATCTTCAAAGTGGGCAATAAGCATGTCCTCTTGAAGGGAATCAGATTATCTGGAAGAAGGTATTTTTCATTCTGAAAGCCTTTTAAGCAGAAGAATCAGGAGTCAGATGTTGGGGATGGCTATTAGATTAGACAATTAAGAATGATGTTTGAGGAGTGAAGTGGAGAAGAGTCTGAGCACTAGCACAGTAGGGAGATGGCCAGGAGAAACCAGGGTGTGGCATGGCAGCTGGTAAATGTCAGACAGAGTGGTATAATTTGAGATGTGAACATGGGAAGGAAGTCTGTACTTGGTTCAGTAAGCAAGAGGCAAGGCTTTTGAGCAGTCTTGAAATGCCATCGAACTGGCTAGGATGAGTTGGTGGATGAGTGGTTAGAAGTTGGGAGAACACTATAATGAACAAGATAAAAGGTACTTTTTTGAAAATTTCCTTTGGGAAATTTTAATTTAGATCACTGGCAAGAAACCTGCCGTTAAAAAAAAAAAAAAGCTGTAACACAATTCATTCTAGTGGATGGTAGTAAGATCCCTTTAACTCATTAAATTTAAAATATTTATTAAGCTTTCTGCTCTTTAAGAACTTGGAAGGCAATTCTATTTTGGAGGGTCTCCTGTTTGTGGGATAGTTCCTCATGAGCCCATCTGTGAGTACAGGAATTCATCTAGTTATTTACCGGGCGCCTGGGTGGCTCAGTCGTTATGCGTCTGCCTTTGGCTCAGGTCATGATCCCGGGATCCTGGGATCGAGTCCCGCATCGGGCTCCCCGCTCCGCGGGAAGCCTGCTTCTCTCTCTCCCACTCCCCCTGCTTGTGTTCCCTCTCTCGCTGTCTCTCTCTGTCAAATAAATAAATAAAATGTCAAAAAAAGAAAGAAAGAAATTCATCTAGTCATTTAGTAAATATTTACTGAGCACTTAGTGTATGCCAACAACTGATCTAGGCATGTGGGGGTGTCCTCAAGGAGCTTACATTTGAGGAGGGGGAGGACTGTATAGTATGTTAAAGGTGGTAAGTGCTATGGAGAAAAAGCAGAGCAAAAACAGTTACCTAGTAATAGTACTATCTTTTTCTTTAGATGACTAGCTGGGAATAGATAGGAAAATAAGCTCAGGGCACATTAATAATAAGGATCGGCCTGAAATGGTCTTTTATTTCCTTTGACCAGCCAGTTCTTTCTAGCTCTGTCTGGCTGGTTGGAACTTCTGTTTTTTCCGTCTTGCGGTTTTTCACCTGCTGGTACCTTCTGTCTTTCAGGTCTCAGCTGACATACGGCCTTATCAAAAAGGCCGGGCCATTAAATTTTTTAAGAGTCCCTTATCTCATGGTCCTTGTAACTAATTTTTCTGTTCCGTGTTCACTAGTCTAAAACCTATTTCATGTTAGATGGGAGGCACCGTGGTAACCGTCGCTGCTTCTCATTCGTGCATTGCCCTGGCACATAGTAGGTGTTGAATAAATAAATAAATGAAAGAGAAAAAGGCAGGGAATCTAAAAGGAGGTGACTTTTCTTATCATTCCAACAAATTGGCTTAATTTCTTAAAATTAAATTAAGTTCTTCACATTGGTTGAAGAAAACAAGAACATCCAGTATTTACTGAGCACTGAACTAAGCAGTTTGCAATAGGGTTTTCATATGCAGTAATTTCTACTTTGTAACTACGGAATTTGAGGCACAGAATGGTCAATGGGGAACCTGTGCAAGGTCACACATCAGTGAGTCACTGAGTAAGGATTTGAATCCAGAAGGGCAGTTCCACAGCCCATATTCTTAACTACCATGGCATGCTGCCAGTTCTTTGCGCTGCCATTCCTTTACTCATTTCCTTACCCTTGTGTATTACACTCTTGTAGGGACTCTGAATAATTCCTCTAGGAATTAGTTTAATCAATAAAGATAACTTTAAGCTTCCTGAGAATCTTCTAAAACATCTCAATAGATTATACTACTAAATGAAAACAGGAGGGCATATACGGTCTTCATTTAAAAAAAAAAGATTGATTTACTCATTTGAGAGAGAGAGAGAGTGTGTGTACATGAGTGGGGGAAAGGGGAAGAAGGACAGGGAGAGAATTTCGAGCAGACTCCCGCTGAGCATGCAGCCTGAGGCGGGGCTAGATCCCACCATCCTGAGATCATGACCTGAGCAGAAATCACGAGTCAGACGCTTTACTGACTGAGCCACCCAGGTGCTCAAAGGGCCCTTATTTTCATAATTCAGCTTTGTAATTTCTATACTTGAAGAAGTATTTTTTAGAACATAAATCCTCTTTTTTCTTGACTCTCATTTTGCATGGTGACTAAAAATCTGTTCATAAAAAAATACAACCTGTATCTGTGGTGTTTATGGTGGAATTATTTTGTTACCTTTGTTACTTTTGGCATATTTATCTCTAATGGTAACATTGGGATGGAAAAGGAAAATAGAGAACAAAATGCAAGAAAGCAACCTTCTAAATGGGAGAAGATGTTTGCAAATAATATATCTGATGAGGGATTAATATCCAAAATATATAAAGAACTTACACAACTCAACACCAAAAAACCCCCCAAAATAACCCAAATAAAAAATGGATGAGGACCTGAATAGACATTTTTCCAAAGAAGAAATACAGATGGCCAACAGACACATGAAAAGATGTTCAGAGTCACTAATCATCAGGGAAATGCAAATCAAATACACAATGAGATACCACCTCACATTTGTCAGAATGACTAAAATCAAAAGCACAAGAAATAACGTGTTGGTGAGGATGTGGAGAAAAGGAAACCCTTGTGTACTGTTGGTGGGGATGTAAACTGGTACAACCATTATGGAAGACAGTATGGAGGTTCCTCAAAAAATAAAAACAGAACTGCCATATAATCTAGGAATTCCATTACTGGGTATCTACCCCCCAAAAACAAAAAAGCACTAATTTGACTAATTCAACAAGATATATACACCCCATGTTTACTGCAGCATTATTTACAATAACCAAGATATGAAAGTAACCTAAGTATCCACTGATAGATGAATAGATGAAGAAGATATGGTGTGTGTACATATATAAAGGAATATTACTCAGCTATAAGAAAAATGAAATCATGCCATTTGCAATGACATGTGTGGAGCTAGAGAGTATTATGCTAAGTGAAGTAAGTCAGAGAAAGAGAAATACCATATGATTTCACTCATGTGTGGAATTTAAGAAACAGAACAAACAGCAACAGGAAAAGGAGAGAGAGGCAAACCAAGAAACAGACTTAACTATAGAGAGCAAACTAATGGTCACCAGAGGGGAGGTGGGCGGGGGGATGGGTGAAACAGGTGACGGGGGATTAAGGAGCGCACTTGTTGTGATGAGCACCGGGTAATGTATGGAAGTATCGAGCCACCGTATTGTACACCTGAAACTAATATTACACTCCATGTTAACTAACTGTAGTTTAAATAAAAACTAAAAAAAAATAAAATAAAGAAGATTTGGTATATATACATAATGGAATATTACTCAGCTATAAAAAAAGAATGAAATCTTGCTATTTATGATAACATGCATGGGCCCAGAGAGTACTATGTTAAGTGAAACAAGTCAGAGAAGAACAAATACCATATGCTTTCATGTATATGTGGAATCTAAAAGAAAATGAAACAAATGAACAAAAAAACAGACTCACAAATATAGGGAACAAACTAGTGGTTGTGGGGTGGGAATGAGAGAAATAGGTGAAGGGGATTAAGAGGTACAAACTTCCAGTTATAAAATAAATAAGTTACAGAGATGAAAAGTAGAGCAAAGGGAATATAGTTAACAATACTGTAATAATGTCAGATGGTGACTACAATTATCATGGTGAGCATTTCACAGTGTACACAATTGTTGAATCACTATCTTATATACCTAAAACTAATGTAACATTGTATGACAACAAACTTCAAAAATAAAAATTAAGAAAAAATTTTTTAAAAGAAAGCTATTTCTAAAGTTTGGTTGCTTCTGAATTTTTGTTAACCTGAATCATTTAACTTTATGTGCTTCTTGTTTAAAGCAGAGGTAATGATATAGAAGTTGTCAGATCGAATTATATCACTACAGTTGCTACAAAATTTGTGATTTTCTTCTCCTCTCCACCTTAGTGTTTCATATTTATCTGTTTAGTTCTAGAAAGAGGAAATTTGGAAGGGCACCCTTTTAGAAAAGCACAATTAAACTGATCAGGGAAATAAGAGAAGACACTCAGAAAGGAAGATTAATGATAACCCTTTCACCATTGCGTTTAAAGCAGAATTTCAGATATAACATAATCGTGAACCTGTACCAAACAGCCTTGAGATATACAGAAGGGAGGTGACTTCCTTTTAAGGAGGAAGGAGAGATCACAGCTTACCCAAAGGGAATACTAGAGTAAGAAAGCCAACAGCTTAATTTGTGTTTCAAATCCTCTGTCCCTGTACACTAAACTTTTCTTGTTTGATTTCAGAATGAAGAGAAAGTTCTATTCCTGGGATGAATGTATGAACTTGAGAGAAGTTAAGGTAAAATCCTACATATGAAAACTCAAGGAGGCTTTCACTCTGCCTCACCCTCTCTCATTCCTGAGGACAGTAGCTAAAGGATTGTTCTTTCTTTGTGGGAAGCATTCCAAAGATAATTATATTTCTTTTTTTTCTTTATCTTCCTAAGTAATTTCTCATTTCTCATCTGAATGTCAGTGGAGAACAGAAAAAAAAACAATACCCTCATATGTGAATGTATACTCTCACTTTTAAAAGAACATTTTAATTCATGTTATCAAAGGAAAGGCAACTTTTAATTACTATGTACTATTTCTTTCCATTTTATGCTATATGACTTGTGTAAATTTTTGCATACCTTTGTATGGAATTTCACATAGTTAAGTCAGAAAAAACCTAGGCCTTCTGAATAGAATGAGGAAAAAAAGTAACAGATTGAAATGTTTGGTAGGTATTATTGACTTGGTTTATTTTTGTACTCACATTCATTACTTAAAACAATTACCGCTTATTTTAAATTGTGTTCTAAGATGTTCTTAGTCATGTAAAATATTATAGACATTAAGACTTAATTCATCCATGAATTCAGAAGAAATATAAGATTATTTAAGGTAATTATCATAGAGATTGATGAGATTTTGCCAACTTCTATAACTTTGCCTTAAGAATTTTAATGCTTATTTGTTGTTACAGTCTCTGAAGAAACTTAATCATGCCAATGTGATTAAACTAAAAGAAGTTATCAGAGAAAATGACCATCTCTATTTTATATTTGAATATATGAAAGAAAACCTCTATCAATTAATGAAAGACAGGTATGTCTTTATTTTATAAAAACTATAATGTTTTCCCTGTTATCTCCTCTATGAGTTCTTTGGATCCCTTTAATATGTCACACTTTTTGGTGAACAGATTTTTCACTCCAAGAGGTGGATCTAAATTAATTAGCTGTTACCTTTATAACCTTGAAGAAGAGCCAGCTATGACATAGTCACTATTTTTATGATGTAAACACACACACTATCTATCTATACTTTTTGAAACAAAATCTGTCTATAGTTTGGCTTATTCATTTGTTTTTTAAGTAGGCTCCACGCCCAGCATGGAGCCCAACATGGGGCTTGAAATCACGACCCTGAGACCAAGACCTGAGCTGAGATCAAGAGTCGGACCCTTAACCGACTGGGTTACCCAGGTGCCCCCAAAATCTTTCTAGAGTTTTAATACTAATAAAGCTGGCCTTGAACAAATTTGAGATTACCTTCATTGCTCTCGCAAGCATTTTGTGAAAGGCTAATGGAAAAAGGGAGGAGGGACTGGAGCAGTTTTCATGAAAGAATCTAATAAATTTATTCATTAGAATGTTTAAGTGAATGATAAAACATAATGTGTTGCCAAACCCAAAGAAATTCTCATTTTCATTTTTAAACCCATGAACAGAATCTCTAAAAAGGGAGAGCTTCAGTCATCTGCCTTGAGCTTGGGGAGGTTAATATTTTGGTGGTAGCTGTCAGTCACACGTGGGAGATTAATGTCCATTTTACCTGTTTTTAAAGCCAGAGCCGTTCAACAAAAGATTCTAAAGTACTTTAGAAATAGATTTCCCAGTGGAATGATGACTGCTCTCTCTGTATTTCTTTCATACACGTCCATGTACACACTCAAGGTAATCCTTAGGGATGGTGAGTGAATTTTTCTTTAATCGTATTTTTCCTTCTTTCAAAAAGTACTTATTGAATGCCTGTTAGGTTCCACAGGCTGATATCATTATAACATTAATAGCAGTTAAAATAAAAGTAAAGAAAATTTCTGCCCCTCAAATCAGTGTTTATTTTTCTAGAGTTCTTTCTAGCCCTTGGATCCAGCCCTGCCTGTTTTTATATAGTTGCAATTTTAATGGCGATCATTTTTTTTATTGATTCACTTACAAGCATTTTGTCATGCTGATATATAATCTTCACAGTTACTATAGTTAGTATGTTCTGTTAAGTGACTACAGCATGCTTCACTTATCTCTTTAAACTACTTAAAAGAAATAACTATCAAGACAATTTTGGGTAATGATAGTTTATAATATTGATGGGATTATTTTGTAGCCATTAAAAGTGATAATTATGAAGATTATGAAAATGCCTATGAGTGGATAAAAAACAGAAATCAAAATTGTAATTATGTGACATTGATACCTAATATAAAAGGTATACATGTAAATGGATTAGGACTGGGTTAGAATACTGAAAAATCTGAATAGCTTCTTATTCAGGTGATGGGCAATCTTAAATTTTTGGCTTCTAATAATTGTGCTCTTTAAAATGTATGACGGGATAAACCTATGCATGATGTATTAAGATACAGGTGTTGAAGAAAAATTAAGTAAATATAAATATTTGAAATGTTATATTTTTATCTGATTTAAGAATATATATATGGGGCACCTGGCTGGCTCAGTCAGTAGAGTGTGTGACTCTTGATCTCAGGGCTGTGAGTTGGAGCCCTACATTGGATGTAGAGATTACTTAAAAATAAAATCTTAAGAAAAAAATATATACATATATATAAATCTGTTATTGGAGGTGGTTAATGCAATAGCAAATGAACACTAAAAAGAACCGACTTTGGAATTTCATGATTCAATTCCGGACTTCTAAATTAAGTGGAAATAAAAATGATATTGCTTGAATATTATTCAATGTCAAAGGTTTAAATTTAACAATTAACAATTATACATGGTAAAGAGCTATCTGAGGTTAAGTGGTATTTTTACACTTTGTTTTTGGTAGCTTAACTTCCTGAACATTGTTTTGAGGATGAAGATTAATTTAAAAGTCTCTTTTATTCAAAACTTTTTTTCTATTTTAACTGAAGGCCAATATACATAAACCTTTGCTACAAAGCTATACCTGGACCTTTAATTTATAGCATTCTGTTTATAAAGTTAAATTGTTTTGGATAAAACATTTTGGATAAAAATATTTTGTTTCTTTTAAAATTTATTTTATAGTTTATGAAAATGAGTTATAAAAATATTTCAATAATATGTAATCAGTACTATTTTCAAATTTGCTATAAGACTAGTGTTTATCTTTCTTCGTCTGTTGTGTGTTCTTAGCCCATTTGGTGGGATATTTTAAAACATTACATAAGCATATGATATAGTTAACAATATTCAAAAATAAGCCATTTTCTACATGTTGAGAACATTTTGAATAAACACCATAACCTAATCAATCATGCTGTAATAAAGATGTTAGAAAATGTTGAAATTATGATGAGCTTTCAAAGTTTAAAATGATTACTTATAAAACAGCATGGTTTCAGGGTCAAAGAATTAATTCAGAATCAAAAAATTAATGTGCTGGTCACATTAATTTGTGGCATGTTAGCAATTAATGTTTGTCTTAATTTAGTCCTTACTAGGATCTTACTTTAGACTTTACATAAATTCCACATAAAGCCGCTCTGTCTAGTAGAGTAGCTACTAGTCACATGTGACTCTTGAAGTCTTAAAAATGTGGTTAGTCTGGATTGAGATGTGCTTTAAATGTAAAATAAAAATACATACCAGACTTTGAAAACTTGGTGCAAAAAAGGAAATTCATTAATAATTTTTATATTGATCACGTGTTGAAATAATATCTGGTATATATTAAATAAAATATATTGTTAAAAATTAACTTCATGTGTTTCATTTGCTTCTTTAATGTGGCTACTAGAAAAAATTTAAATACATAAGTGGTACTCATTTGTGGCTCTTCCCATATTTCCATTGGACAATACCAGCAGACAATATAGAACTGAAGCAGTTATGCCCCTGAAACTCTTAAAGCCTACATGATACAGATTTGCGCACTTGGCTTATCTGATGGTTATCAGTTTTCCAATTTACTTTGCTCCTCTCGGGACAGCTTAAAATTTAGCTGTTTGAATATTTGTGCAATATGTTCATTATTGGATTTGAGTTTTTACCAAATATCAAAACAGACAAAAATTCTAATTGTCACGTTTTCAATTTATAACCTTTGACAACTATAAAGCTATAAATCACAACTTCAACCATTATCATGAAGCCAACAGGGGCTCCAAGGGAGGAGGAATATCTGCTGTCTTGTTTTGATTGGTTGGTTAACAGAATTACATGACTGTTTATTTGTTCCTGTCTTCACAGAAACAAGCTGTTCCCTGAGTCAGTCATCAGAAATATTATGTATCAAATATTGCAGGGGCTGGCATTTATCCATAAACATGGTAGGTTTAAATTTCCTTTCCCTGCCTCTTTAGGTTACTGTCAAGGTCATGGACAGGAATTATATATAAGCAGTTAGATAATGTTATATTGAATAACTACAAATTTGGAGTATGGGGCTACATACCCTGACATTTTCATTTTAAGAAACTTAGAATTTCTATAATTCTCTATAATGCAATTTCTGTAATCTATAACTGTCTTCCTCTATAGCAGAATTGACCATCAGCCTTTACTCTCAGTTATCATAAACCCATCCTACAACCTCATTCCCCGATTTTACCATGGAAATGAAAACAAAACAAACAAAATGCCCTTCTTTTGGAAAAGATCAGAATGCTTTGATCACATGACCATTTATTAACATTTAAATAGTTTAAAGCACCACTGCTATGGTATTTTATAGTTTTCTTAGTATTTACATTTAGTTTTTCTATTCTTTGAGTGAAATTAAATAAAGTGCTTATTCCTATTTTTATGAATTTCTTATTTATGTGATCTACACTTATAGTTTTTTATGTATCTATCCAAAATAACTTGTCCAAAAAGTTAACGTGATTATTATGAAAATTTTTGGCAAACATTTGTCTAGAATCCCCAGATGTTTAGATACTAAATTGGAAGAGTTTGTGCCAGACCACTGCTGCATTATGAACAGAGGCAGTTGGAAATCACCATCACTAGAGTCCCTTCATGTTTCATCCCATATTTTATATTTTCTCCTTTTCCCTTTAACTATCATGGGAAATCATTTATTTTCTAAAAATGCTATTTATCGTTTATTCCATATAAGCATTGTCAGAACATTCCTGAGTCCCACTTTTTTTGTCCTTTAAAAGTCTAAAGGCTAATTAAGGAGGGCACGAGATGTGATGAGCACTGGGTGTTATATGCAACTGATGAATTACTGAACTCTACATCTGAAACTAATGATGTACTAGATGTTGGCTAACTGAATTTAAATTAAACAAAAAAGAAAAAGAAAGATGTTAAAAATAAAAAGTCTAAAGCCTATGATAATATAGTACAATGCATTGATGAAAGTCAGTCATTTATTAATTACATGGAAACAAAGGATATATGCTATTTTAATTGCTCATAATGGATTTCTGATCTTCAACCTGTTTTTAAACACTGGCCATCATGGTAACTCATGATATTTGCCTGAGTTAATTTATGCCAGCAGAAACAAGTGTGGTGTGGAAAAATCAAAAGCATTATGAATTATTTGACTTTTGGAAACAGCTTTGTGATTTATTGATATTTTTTAGGCTAGTAATAAAACTAGTTTCGATTCCTTGGATATAGATGAACTACCAGCAACTTCAGAGCATAAGTGGTTGAAGGAAGAAGTTAGTTAAAAATTGCTGTTAAAAGTAAATAATACGAATAATGTACAGTTGGTTATACAACTGATGACAGTGATTTGGGACACCAGACTCCAAAAACAAGAGACATTTTTACAAAGGCTACACTATTCTTGCTATAGTGGATAAGATCTCAGATGGAATACTTTACGTAAATATTTTTAAAATAGTAGCTGTCAAAAAAACAAGACTAATATTTTAGTTAAGATAGGACCAAGTTACCGATATATTTATATTAGTGAGAATGGGGAAAATCTCAACTGTACAAATATGCAATTGGTTTCATTCTGTACGATTTTATGGATTATGTTGCTTTACTCACCACCACATGTGCTCCTGTTCCTGTCTTCATGTTACGGAAGTGCAGTGTATTTCCCTTGAAAGTTCATGAAATGGATCTCAACAACTAGTCTGAGTAAGAAGTGCCAGAGAAAGGGCGCCTGGGTGGCTCAGGTGGTTAAGCAACTGCCTTCCACTCAGGTCATGATCCTGGAGTCCCGGGATCAAGTCCCTGGATCAAGTCCCGCATCGGGGTCCGGCTCAGCGGGGAGTCTGCTTCTCCCTCTGACCCTCCTCCCTCTCATGCTGTCTCTCATTCTCGATCTCTCTCTCTCGAATAAATAAATAAAATCTTAAAAAAAAATCAAAAGAAGTGGCAGATAAACTGAGTACAAAACTGTTGTAGATGTCGCAAACGTAGAACCCACGCTGGTTAGAAGGAATCAAAAAGCTCAGGCTTAAAATTTGGCTTTAAAAGTTTAGGCTACAGCTACATGAAAATCCCCTCACAATGATCACCTACAACGATGACCAGGCCCCTTCTGGATTCTCCCACCTTGCAAGGTCATTAGAAAACAGGCCATCTGTCTACCAGCCAGTGAGCTTTAGATCCCCCTTGGAAATGTACGAAGAGGGCTTTCATGTTCTTCTTCTTGCTGGGTTTTCTGCCTCATTTTCATTGACCTGCCTTTCAGCTTCAGTAAACACTTATTTTACATACTGAATTGGTAAGTAACCATGATAATTATTGGGTTTTTCAATAAAGCAGCCACCAGGGGAGAACTGAGCTGTTAAATAAAATAACTGTAAATGAAAGAATTGGCTAAAATGTGTGGAGTTCCATTTTTGTTTAATGGACTTTTCAAATAAGTGACAAAAGCCTGATTATGCAGCTTTCCTCAAGCTTTCATTAGGCTCCTTCTCTTTGGCCCTCTACCTCCTCATTTACTACACAATAGTGACCATAATATCGCCTTAAAGTTGTGCAAATTCCTGGAGATAATCCTAATGCAGCAGTATCTAGCCCAAGTGCTTGAACTTCCTGGATTCACAAATAGAAATGTGTTAAGTAGGTATTTTTAATGACCTCATATACTGGGTGAACTTTCTTACCAATTATTTTGAAAGCAGGGTCCCTACCTGCATCACTTTTTAGACAAGAAATACAGATTTTTTCCCCCTAAGTTCACATCCCTAATTACAACAGAGAGGATTGGTTATATTTTGTTGAGAAGTCAAATGTGTTTAAACATAACGCTCAATTACTGTTTTTCCTCTCTATGTTACCAAGGTTTTTTTCATAGGGATATGAAACCAGAAAACTTGCTTTGTATGGGTCCAGAACTTATAAAAATCGCTGATTTTGGACTTGCCAGAGAATTAAGATCACAGCCACCATATACTGATTATGTATCTACCAGATGGTGAGTAGTTTTATGCAACTCTGTAGAGGCACAAGTAGGTCTGTGTTGAAGTTTTACTACAGTGGGTCGTTACATAGCTTTCTGGAGGTTCCATTTTGAGTATTTAAAACAAAATATAGAACTGAATTTTGCATTCTGTGGAGAGAGAAGGATTGGGTCATGACTATTCTGAAGGAAAGGTGATTTCATTCATTCATTCATTCACTCATTAAACAAGCATTTGTGGAAACCTACCATGTGCCAGATACTATTTCAGGCATGGGGAACACAGAAGTGAACGAAACAGAAAAACAATCTGTCTCCTGCCACTTACATGACATCCAAAATACAAATGAGCAAGATGTTTTTAACTGTTTTTACTAACAGAAAGACATACATGTGTTCATCAAAAGTCATGTAATAGTCCCAAACTGCAAACTACCCAAATGTCCATCACATGCAGCATAATATAGTCACCCAGTGGGATGCTTTACAGCAATGAGAACAAAAGTCTACAACTACACGCAACAGTATGATTGAGTCTCACAGACACAATGATGAGAGCAAAAGGCCAAACAGAAAAAAAGTACATATGGTATGATTCCATTTCTACAAAGTGCAAAGACAGAGAAAACTAATCTCTGCTGTTAGAAGTCAGGGTAGCCGTTACTTGAGTAGTGACTGCAAGAGTGCAGGAGAAGGGCCTCCTGGGATGCTGATAACACCCAGTTTCTTGATCTTGGCACTGGGTCAATGGGTGTATTCTATTTGTGACAATTCATCAAGCTGTCCTCTTACAATATGTGCATTTTTCTGCATGTGTATTACATTCCCATAAAAACAAGAATATTTGTATATCAGGTGATGATACATCATTATGGAGAAGAATAAAATATGGAAAGGGACAGGGAGTGGGGGGTGCTGGGGGAGGGAAAGGGCATGCTGCTATTTTAAATAGCTGAGAAGTCTCGCTGAGAAGGAGATGCCAAGGCAAGAAGGAGCTTTCAGGCAGAGAAAATGCTGAGTGTAGAGGCCTTGAGACAGGAAAGCCATGTGTGAATTCTGCAGAGAGCAGAATGAATCAGGAGGGCTGTAGTAGGATATGGGGCTGGAGAGTTAATGGAGGGCAAGATCTCAGGTCCTTACAGGTCATCATAAGGACTGTGGTGAACTGGGGAGCCCCTTATAGGTACTTGTAAGGACTGAGTGTGAA